GTGATAGATACAAAACTTTTTTCAATGGGGCCAAAGTAGTAATTTCAGTATATAAATTTTTTTTGCCCTCCACTTTTCTTTTAATATCAAACAATATAAAATTTACCCATCAACTTTTTCATCAATAAAAATAAAGAAAAATAATATAATTTTTTTTCTTTGAGGATTGAAACTGTATCACTCACAAAAAAGTTTTATTTCCTTCAATTTTTCAATCTTTCCTACCAAACCGCAAATAAGAAAATTTCGTATAGTAAAAGAAATAAGAACAAAAAAGTTTTATTTTTGAAGTCAAAACGATAAAGTATTAGACTTTAGTCAGAGTAAAGGCGCTCNAAGAAAATTTCGTATAGTAAAAGAAATAAGAACAAAAAAGTTTTATTTTTGAAGTCAAAACGATAAAGTATTAGACTTTAGTCAGAGTAAAGGCGCTCAACTTTTTCCTTTGTCGAGTTTGAGAGACAAGTGATGAGCTGGAAATTGATTCCCCACTGTTAATTAGTAGTATGCTGCCCTTGTATGAAAAAATAATTAATTTTTTGATACCATAAAATTATGAAAAATTCTATTATAATATAAAAATTTGACTTAATTTACTAATCTAATTTAATAATATAATTTCATTATAATTATTAAATTAACTTTAAATTTAAATAAATGATTAGACCCACCATTGAAAAGATAAAACTGTGGTGCCAACATTTGTTGAGCAAATCTTACAGCCTAAATAATGTGTTAAAATCCTATATATCCGATTCTTTCTGGAGTTAATGAACCCACTAATCTAACCACCTACCTGATTTGGAATACAAAAATCAGTCAGCATAGCAATGCTCTAGTGATTGCTCTAAAATTATACAATTCACTTACCCATAACAAATAGGCTCTTACTGAATACAAATCATGTGGCAAACCCCAAACCATAAAATGTGATGAGTCTAATGACAATGCACCAAGAGGATATAGGAACTTACTTGAGATGTGGATCAAGGTAGAGCAGAGCTTGGGTTCCACCAAAGTGAGGGACTCTGGTCTCAACACCAGGGGCATTTCGGTAATCATCCAAGTCGGGGTCATAGTAGAGCATCATGCGCTCACAAAAGCACTTGGTGAATGGGGCTAAGAGGACGCTTGGGTCAAACCAGAGCCTGAACCAACCATTCTTGTCCTTACTAATTGGGTTCCACCGGTTGCAGAAGAAGCTTGAGGGTTTGTAGTCTCTGGTTAACCTCGCTTCCAGTTGGTTCCCGCCACTTCCAGGCACCAGAATTAGAGGATGGAGGTTGCTGTCCGCCTGACACGTGTACCACATCATAGCTATTGAGGCCATCGCCATTTTGATCCCCACACCCGTCATTGGTCATTGGCAAGGCAAAGTTAAGTGCTTTTTGTGAGAGAGAGAGAGAGACTGTGTGTGTTGTCGACTTCCATACCATGAATGTGTGGTGAATAATGTGTGACGTCTCTGGCTTGGAACGGAGAGAATGGGAAATGCCATGATGGGTTCAAAACCCACTCATAATATTTAGAATGGGCCTCATTTCATAGTAAACTTGTTCAGTAATAATAAGCCCATAAAATTGAGAATGGGCCTCTTTTCATAGTAAACTTGTACTGTAATAATGAGCCCACTTGCCGATTTTTTTTTCTATTTTTTTTTTTAAAGATAAACATGATGCTTAATCTCTTTAAGAGATATACTATTTGTACTTAAAAAGTTGACACAATTTACTAACTTAATGAATTATAATTATTGAATAAGTCGTGGATTATAATAAATATTGAGACCCACAATTAAATCAATAATAGTGATTGATCAAGTTAATTTTTCAAATCTGTATTGAATTGCTTACTTTAAACCTTGCCTACTATTTTAAAATAATTTCTTGAACTTTTAATTATCTCAATTTAATTTCTTAACTATTAACTTCATTTTCAATAAGTTCATTATGTCCATTTCATTCGTTGGAACAAAAGGACACACATGAGGTAGACTTGCATTCGTTTGCTCTAAGAGGTGAAATGGGCGGACGGACTATATTGATAGAAAATTGGTAGTTGAATGACAAAATTTAAATAATTAAAAATTTAGGGATCATTTTAAAATACGAGATAATTTTGAAAACTGATTATGATATTTACCCTTTTTAAATTTTTGTCTCCCTCGGGTATACCTGTTATNAATAATGTGTGACGTCTCTGGCTTGGAACGGAGAGAATGGGAAATGCCATGATGGGTTCAAAACCCACTCATAATATTTAGAATGGGCCTCATTTCATAGTAAACTTGTTCAGTAATAATAAGCCCATAAAATTGAGAATGGGCCTCTTTTCATAGTAAACTTGTACTGTAATAATGAGCCCACTTGCCGATTTTTTTTTCTATTTTTTTTTTTAAAGATAAACATGATGCTTAATCTCTTTAAGAGATATACTATTTNTTTAAAGATAAACATGATGCTGCTTGATCTCTTTAAGAGATATACTATTTGTACTTAAAAAGTTGACACAATTTATTAACTTAATGAATTATAATTATTGAATAAGTCGTGAATTATAATAAATAAATATTGAGACCCACAATTAAATCAATAATAGTGATTGATCAAGTTAATTTTNTCTATTTTTTTTTTTAAAGATAAACATGATGCTTAATCTCTTTAAGAGATATACTATTTGTACTTAAAAAGTTGACACAATTTACTAACTTAATGAATTATAATTATTGAATAAGTCGTGGATTATAATAAATATTGAGACCCACAATTAAATCAATAATAGTGATTGATCAAGTTAATTTTTCAAATCTGTATTGAATTGCTTACTTTAAACCTTGCCTACTATTTTAAAATAATTTCTTGAACTTTTAATTATCTCAATTTAATTTCTTAACTATTAACTTCATTTTCAATAAGTTCATTATGTCCATTTCATTCGTTGGAACAAAAGGACACACATGAGGTAGACTTGCATTCGTTTGCTCTAAGAGGTGAAATGGGCGGACGGACTATATTGATAGAAAATTGGTAGTTNTCAATAAATTCATTATGTCCATTTCATTCGTTGGAACAAAAGGACACACATGAGGTAGACTAGCATTCGTTTGCTCTAAGAGGTGAAATGGGCGGACGGACTATATTGATAGAAAATTNTTCAATAAGTTCATTATGTCCATTTCATTCGTTGGAACAAAAGGACACACATGAGGTAGACTTGCATTCGTTTGCTCTAAGAGGTGAAATGGGCGGACGGACTATATTGATAGAAAATTGGTAGTTGAATGACAAAATTTAAATAATTAAAAATTTAGGGATCATTTTAAAATACGAGATAATTTTGAAAACTGATTATGATATTTACCCTTTTTAAATTTTTGTCTCCCTCGGGTATACCTGTTATTTTGTAATTTATAATTACAAAGCAAACTTTGAATAAAAATAATCACACATAAATTACGCGCATTACACAAACCAAAATTCTCTTGCGTGGCTAAAAATTCAAGACTTTGAGATGTTGTATAATTGAAGCTGACCAAAAAGAGAAGGAAAAGAAAATAAATGCAATTCAAGATAACAAATGATTCTCAAAGTAAAGGAGGATCGGTGAGCAAAAGTACCACGAGTCCTATGTTCATGTTCAATATTTAGTTGTGTGCAATTATGACTACAAAATTTTTTTTAGTTATGGTAGCAATTCTTTGAAGTCATATCATAAGAAATTTATAATTTAGTCGACCGATCAAAGAAGGGGATTAGTCGAGGTCCATTTAAGCTGGTTCGAACACTCTCGACCATTAAACTAAAAAACAAAAAAAATATTTTTTAGCGTATTAAGCACCATGGTAATTATGAATGTCTGATCATCTACTAAATTGCTTCAATATTAGGCCTGCTATCATGTATTCAAATGAAATCCGTTATATTTAAGTGAATAATTCACTTAGTGTATCTTGACTAATAATTAGGGGAACCGAATGAATTTAGTAGTGGAGTGCATCGTAATTCAATATCTTAACTAGCTATGATAATTCTGAATATAACACGAAATCGGCACTAAATTATTAATTTAGATTTAATATTAATAGCAAATTTGAATGATGAATGAATAAATTTGTTATAATTACTAAATAAATGAATTGAAACACAAAATATAATATATATATATATAAGTTTAATAAATTTTAACATAATACGAATCAAAAGACTTTCAATCCAATTCATGATCCCCTCGGCCGAAAAAACAAAAANTCAATATTAATAGCAAATTTGAATGATGAATGAATAAATTTGTTATAATTATTAAATAAATGAATTGAAACACAAAATATAATATATAAGTTTAATAAATTTTAACATAATACGAATCAAAAGACTTTCAATCCAATTCATGATCCCCTCGGCCGAAAAAACAAAGAAAATTCTACAAACTTGCTATATTATTTTTTTTCTAGTAACAGGACCCACATGCATGGCTGATGGCCCCTGATTGAATTGAGTGTATTTTCAGCTTGCTACAATCTGTGGATCGTTGATACATGGAGGGGCTGCTTCTAATATTTTATTGATTTAATTATTCATTGGAGAAAAATCTTTTAGTCAAATTTATATATTTAATTTCGTAAATGTCTTAATCTGTCGTTATTTCTTGCACTTCCATTACCATATTTTAAAAGATGTTCCATCTATTTTTTAAATCTTCAATGACACCCACTATTAGATTAAAGGTGTTAATTAAAATATAATTTAACTAAATTATCAATAATATATTTTAAGAAGAACTTCATCTACACCTCCTTTAAATAGACATATTTTCAATGAGACTTTCTCTATTTTTAAAATTTTTGTACATATTAAAATTCAGGTTGATTAAAATTTGATTTGAGCTAATTAAAATTTAAGTCAATTAAAAATTATATTTTTTTAGGCATTAAAATTTGAATCAATTAAAATTTTATTCTAGACTCAAATCAAATTTTAATCAATTCGTATTAAATATTAATTGTTTTGATTTTTTATACATAAAAAATAGAAATTTTAATTGACTCAAATTTTAATATGTAAAAACTAAATTTTAATCAAGTTGAATCGAATTTTAATAAATAAAAAAATATAAATTTTAATCGGGGCTAACAGCTCATGTAGAGCTCAAATTGACTCAAATTTTAGTACGTAAAAAAATTTTAATAGACTCAAATTTTAATACGTAAAAAAAAAAATTTAATCAGCTCGAATTAAATTTTAATATCTAGACAACAAAATTTTAGTTGAATTTTAATATGTAAAAAAATGAATTTTAATAAATTTGAATTTTAATAAAATTTTATGTAGAAAGATTATTTGGAGTTTATGTAGGGGCAATTTTAGTATTTTAGATAATCTATTATTTTATTATAAATGGTGGTTTAATGGAAGAGGGTGTCAGTGATTGATGTTTAAATATAAAGTAAAAGAAGTGTGATTGATATTTTTGTTTGATAATAAAAAAGAAGTGTTTGAAGATATAATAAACTAAAAAAAGTTTGGCTAAAATTTTCCTATTAATATATTTAATTCGGTTAATGTCTTAATCTGTAATTATTTCTTGCAGTTTCCATTGTCTGTAGTGGGGTCAATTTGTTTGACACTCTCCTTACAGTTTTATTTTTATTTTAACATCAGCATTTCTATCCAGCGAACTACTAGCCAAATCTCTTTTATTTTAATTTTTGGACAAATCTAACTTTGTTCAAAAACATAATCTTTATCACCAATATGTAGTTGGGATGAATGAACATTTAAGTGATAATAAATTAATAACTCGAGCCTTCAAGTTCAAATTTTGTAAATATAGTCTTGCGGACTTGATATAAATGATTAACATATAATTTCTTACATTCTCGAATTACGTTATAACATACAAGTTTAAAGAATGTTTACTCTTAGAGTGATTCGACAGTCAAGTTTATCCTTTTATAAATAGAAAATCTCAACTTCGATATTTCTTATGCCCTCTAAAGTGTATGATTGTAATATAATTGAATATTAAAAACATTGTAATAATCTTTTACTAATAAATTTCTTTACTTGACCATAGTTGCCAAATTGACAACAAAAACTCTATGGAGAAATTGGAAAACATTAAGTCGAGTGAATCCAAATCCCAATAGTGGATTATTAATGAGATGAGAATGGCCATGGAAAAAGTCAAGGTCTTGAATAATAATACCCCTTATTTCAATTTTGGCCTACCATGGTTGCATTTAACTGACTGTGCATGCCTTTCTTATCCTTATACTACTATCTATTTTCTTATCTGGCGACTGGCGTGTTTTGAAGAAGTCCACACGCACCTGCCTTT